CCTTGGTTCCCTTACACTCTGAAGAGACCTTTCTTTTGCTAATTTGGCCACCACCAGAAAAAAATCCCAACTACAAGTTTGGATTAAGTGAAGAGTTGATTCAAGAGGTGCCTGGTGGCTCAGTTGGTTAAGTGTCTGCATTTGGCTCAGGTAGTGATCTCAGGGTCCTGGGATCGAGCCCCATGTCAGGCTCTTCCCTCAGCACAGAGTCTGCTTCTCGCTCTCCCTCTGTGCTCAGCAACATATATTACTCCAGCCCTGCTGGATTGTTTTCACATTAGAAGGTAGAGGAAAGATCACCTGTTGTTTCTAGAGACATTATCTAGTAATCTAGGATTATACAAACCTCTCCAACTTTTTTTATTTTTTAAGATTTTATTTATTTATTTGACAGAGAGAGACACAGTGAGAGAGGGAACACAAGCAGGGGGAGCGGGAGAGGAAGAAGCAGGCCTCCAGTGGAGCAGGGAGCCTGATGCGGGGACTCATTCAATCCCAGCACCCTGGGATTATGACCTGAGCCAAAGGCAGACACTTAACGATTGCGCCACCCAGGTGCCCCTCTCCCCAACTTGTTTTATGGAGAGAAAGACCACCTATACTTTATATTAAATAAGGTGAAAATATTATTATTCCTAATAGATGCTAATATCATATTTATATACACTTTGTACCTTTAAAACTATTTTTAAATACATTGTTACATTTAATACAATTCTGAAAAATTTTTCTTGGGCATTGTTGCTAAGGAAATTTTCACTGTCTTCCTCAGTGTAAGAGGACAAGACTATTATGAAAACTATTTTTAAAAATTATTGACATGTTGGGGTGCCTGGGTGGCTCAGTCGGTTAAGCGTCTGCCTTCGGCTCAGGTCATGATCCCAGGGTCCTGGGATCGAGCCCCACATCGGGCTCCCTGCTCGGTGGGGAGCCTGCTTCTTCTTCTCTCTCTGCCTGCCACTCTACCTACTTGTGTTCTCTCTCTCTGTCAAATAAATAAATAAAATCTTTTAAAAAAATTATTGACATGTTAATTCAACCTGATTAATCAAGCATTAGGTAGGGGTTTGAGGAAAACTTAAGTCATGATTTATACCATGTTTGAGTTGGTCCATGATATTTTTAACCATATTCAACTGTGGGTTGAATCTCCATATGACAAGGAAAGTCAATTTCTTATGACCAGAAATCCCAGATTTTCTAGGAAGATTTAGAAGATTTATACATTTGTTAAATGTATAACTAAAAGTCACTTACATTCTGGTAGAGCTTTGTTAAATGTGTATCTACATATGATTTGTTTTCCGGATTGCATATAAATTTAATCAGAAATCATAGAAATATTTTGACAGTCCACACATCCTAACTTTTGTTTGGAAAATGTGGTCATTGAACCAACCGAGTCATTTTCAATAACTCATTGGACAGAATACTTCTGAGTTTCAATCAGAGGATGCTCTGAAATAATGGAAAGGACACTGGAATGAGAATTAGAAGACAAATATTTGAGTCCGATCCTGACTCTTATACATCTTTTTATGATCTTGGGACAATTACCAAATCTCTCTGAAATTTGTCTCATCTTAAAAAAGAGGATAATCATATCTATATCTAAGGGTAGTTGTAAGAACTAAATCCAAGCATGCACGTGAAAGTGCTTGTAAGGTAAGAAGTAAAGTACCCGTGTTCTGTGTTAGCCCTCCCCGGAGGCTCCGAGCAAGGGCACGTTTGTCTTAGTCACTGCTGCGTTTCTAGTACTGTATATAGCATTGCAGCTGACTCACAGGAGATGCTCAGTACAGACTGATTGAATGAACAATAACTGTTCTTCCCTGAAGATGATTCAGTGTCTTGATTAGATCACAGTCTGAACCATGAAATCTCTTTTGTCTTCCCATGATTAAGATGTGGCAGTTAGAATAAATTATGTGCATTGTTCCTTCCAAATGTGACATTCTATGATTCCACGAATCCTCACTCTCAGACTCTTGGAATGTAACCTCATTGCTCTGTTGAAGTCTCGTATCCATAGGACAGAATGACATAATTCTCAGATACCATTTCATTGTATCTCTACAATATACAAACAAGAGAGATCATCCTGACCCAATCATTCAGTCAGTTCAGAAAAAATTAAAGAAAATCACCAGTGAATGAATGGTTAATAGCCAGAAGCATTCGAATTCATTTGTCTGTACAGTATACTGAGTAATTCTTACTTCAGTTACTAAGCCCTGTAGAAGAGGGAAATTTCTCATCTGTGAATCATGATTCTAATAAAATCTCCATGGGCTGGTGTAAATACCCATAAAACACTGGTGCTTATTATTTCCTGAGAGTTGCTGAGAAGATAGGGCATTGTTTATAGTTACAGCAATATATAAGAAAATTAAACCTGTACTCCCTTCTTCTCATTGTACTCTTAGGCTGGGAATATTTGTCTTGATTAAGCATGAGTCCACAATGACGACTCAGAGTTCAAGGCCTTTCATGAAGTCTTCATTACTATTGGAGAATAATGATCAAGGGGCAGATGCCAAAGTTTATTTGGGTGTGTAGACTTTTGGAGACTTCAATTCAGATTTCGTTTTCTGTATTTCCTGCTATTTGTTCGGCTGGTGTGTCACCTCCACCTGTAACATGAGGCCCCGAAACATTCACAGATGGGTTTGCCAAGCTCCCCAGTCTCTGCTGAAGTAACCAGTGTGAGCAATCTGGCTGACTGGACATTGGATGCATCTTCGTCATTTAATTATTTGAATTGGGTTTACGGGCAGTAATATGATTCCTCTCATCCGTGGAACTTAGGAAGGCCTGCAGTGCTATTAAAATAGGATTGGGTGGACTGCCTGGGGAAATCCAGAGCCTATGATTCAATTACAGGGGCTTTCACAGGGTCAGTCACTACTCGGAAATTACAAAATCAAGTTAAGAGCCAAAAGTAGTCTAAATGGTAAACTGATCATGTTGATCAGATTTTAATCATGCTCTGTTATCTACAACTAGATCATAGCATGAGGGAACAGATGAAGAGTCACTTGTTCATCCAAGTGGTTTCATCTAGTCTTTATTTCCATGGGCAGCCTAAAACATAAATTCGGTTAGGTCTGTGAAAAATTGTCAAGTAGAAGAAGACTGGCTTTCCAGTTCCTTCTTTTAGCCAGTTGTCATTGGCCCCAAGTCCTCTATCCAGCTCGGGTTATCCTTTGTTTTATCTGCCATCCAGGCTTGTTTCTTTCTCCACTCAGCCCCATGTTGCATCCGGCATGTGCTCTCCCTCTTTCCACTCTTCGCTGGCACACATTGGACAGCACTTGGATTGCTTCACTCTCCTACAATTCCTCATATGAGGCTGAGGTTACCTGCAGTAGGGACAACTGGCAGTGTGTGTCTGTGTGTGTGTTTTGGGGGGGGAGGTGTTCAATGATCAACCCACAAATGATACCCACCCTGACCTTAAACTGGAGATTCTTTTTTTTTTTTTTTTTGCCTGAAACTCAGTCTTTCTCCACGTTTTGGTGCCTCCTCTTTCTTATGACCCTCCTCTCTGTCCTGAGAAACTCAAAATTACTCAACTATTTTATGCAGATCTATAAAGTCTCACTCTTCCACCTTCCAGGCCTTATCTTGGGGCTTTTCTTTCCCACTGAGTGTTGTGAAACTGAGGAGTTCCTAAGAAGATCTGTGTCTCCAGCTTCTGAAACCACACTATTGTTTTTCCTTGCTTAGCTTCCATCCTTCCTTTGATTTCCTACAGTTAATGCCCATCCGTAGAAACCCAGGAGCCTGGTGCTTTCTACCCTCCCAGGACATGCAGTGAACTTCAGGTCTCAGCCTGTCTTGTTCTGCCCCAGGCTGCTGAGGGGTTCTATGGTACACCCATTCCAAAAGATTCCTTCCCAGTTAGTCTGATGCATTAGTACCAAGATTTAATCCCATTAAACTATCACTCCCACTGAAGTGTGCCTAACTGAAAATGGCAGAAATGTATACGGATTGCATTTCGATAGAGGACTTGACCCAAAGTGTTAACATCAGTGGTTCTCAACTGGGAATGGTTTTGTCTTACACCTTGCTTCCTCCACCCCCTCACCGAGAACATCTGGCAATATCTGGGACACTTTTGGTTGTCAGGGCTGGGAAGCAGGAGAGTACCTCCGACATCTAGTGTGTAGAGACAGGCTTGCTTCTAAAGATTGTACAATGTGTAGGACAGTCCTCTCACCCAAAGGGTTAGCGAATAGGGCAGTTTCATTGATAATGATTGGGCAAATCTATTTGGGGAAAATGGTCTTTGAAAAACACATGTAGACACACGTATCATTACCTCTTCTGCAGATCATCCTAGAGGGACAGCAAGCAGCCTGACAATCAGGCCACCTTGGGGTACTTGATGTGCAGAGTTAGCACCTTGCTTAGTCAGGTTACCCCAAAACAGCATATCAGGGAAGAGCAAATGTTGGGTGGATTTCCTTTGCTGGGGGAGAGTTTATTTCCATTTTCCGAGCTTTCCCTACCAGTGTGTAAGTAACACCCACAATCAGGATACACAGATCTCAATAAAGGGGCAAGGGATCTTGTATGTTTCTATTCAAGCTGAAAAAACACCATTTTAGCCAAAAGCAAGCACTATGCATGGAAAGTAATAATTTGGAGTGGTCAACGGGGGTGGGTCTAGCTGCTGTGGAGAGACACTGAATTTATAAACACAGCCAAAGCATGCTGGCACCTAGAGGGGGTAAGCACTTAAATGGCAACACAGGGTGAAAATGTGGAATAATTTCTCAATCACTTACCTGTGAACTCACAAGAGTATTTTTTGTAAGGTGAGCCAACTGTCTTCCCTGAAAATCTTTACAAACTTGAGAACCACCTCTTGATAAGGTTGTGTAAGAAGTGTATTCCTGAGAAAAGACAAGGGAATAATTCCCATAACCTGCAGGGATTTCTTTCCACTAGAGGGTTTGGCAAGACTCTCATAAGTTTAAAATAACAAAGTCAACACTGGAAATTCACTTTATTATGTTTTGATTTCACAGAAAATGTAGACTTGTAAATAACAATAGTTCTTTGTAACAATCTGCGTGACACTTTTATTAGCTCATGGAAGTGGGAGGTTTGGTTAAACAGGAATCATGTGAATATCAGGGAAAAAAAACTAGAGTTCGAACAACTATGATTTAGAAAAATAATAATCATGTTGGGCTTTGCAAACCACCTGTCCTTGCTGATCCCTTGAAAAATGTAAAGAACATTCTCATGGATGAGTGAAAATTTTCTCTGCCTAGGTAAGGAGAAGGTCAAAATAAGCACACCTTTGTGAGCTTATTTATACCAGTGGATTGTTTTTCAGAAGGTCAGCACAGACCTGACGAAAGCAATTTACCAGCTTTGGAACTGGCGAGGTTTATTTGTTAAAAGTACGCTTCTTGCTCTTAAGACAAGGAAACCCAAGTTGAAGTACAGTAAATAGACACAAAAGAATGGTTCTGGTCGATTGGACACCACTCTGAGCCTTTATTTGGAGAGCAGGCAAGAGGGGAGATGAATGTTCTTCAGCTGAGCGAGACCACACCAGCCCCAGGCCAGCCTTTAATAAATGAGAAGTAATAACAATATCTTGGCCTGAAAACATCATCGAGGACAAGTGCGTGCACCATCATGTTGGCTGCCTCTGAGGGAGCCCTGCTTTAGGTTTTGTAGAGCTGATGTAAGATTCCTTAATAAATTAATCAGGCCGAGAAATGTCAATGTGAAGCTAGATTTTCTGACTTTAAAGCTACTTTCTTTGAAAAAGAAACGTGATACCTGATGTTTTCGAGCTTCGTGATAGCTCCGATGGAAAGGAATATGGTTATGACAATCGAGAGCGTCTCTTGAAATGAACCTTGGCAGCCTCACGCAGAGCTATGTGACAGGTGCGGAGAATGCGAGCAATGGCCCGAGGCCCTGCACCTCTAGGCCTCCCAATGCCTCGGGGAGAAGGTGCTGGGAGGGGACAGGGGAACAACAGCAGAAGGAGGGGCGGTGGGTACCCACAAGAGCTGAAAAAGCCACTCTGCCCCATCACCAAGCTCAGCCAGTCACTTGGCAACAACCACCTGGCTCTTTCCCTCTCAATCCTTTTTCCATCATCCGGCCCTAATACGGAATATATTGCCATTTGATAGATCCTTCAGGGATGCTCCTTTCAGTCTGGTGATATCCGTATTATGCCAGGGCCTCCATCCTGGAGGGGCAAGGAGCCCCGGCTGGTCGTGGTCACCGCACTTGGGGCTTTTGTGCTGGAGCTTGGATGGGAGAGGCTGTCCGAGGTGTAACCGGATACACCCTGACAAAGCATGCTCACAGAATACAAGTCAGTCCGGTCCAGTCTTCCGAGGTGCAGACCAATGTGGGGAGGCACATTTATTGAAGACAACTCATTTGCTAAGACTCAGAGTCATGTGCAGATGGTATCTTTAGAAAGATATGTAGATATGTAGAAAACCCCACTGAGTCAGTCAAGATCGCCTATTGTGTTGGAACTTTTTCAGACATTGCCGAACATTAATGGGCATCCTCTTGGGCCTAGAAAACTTGGTTTTATCATAAGATTTTCACTGAGAGGGAACTTGTAAGGGATCCGAACTGAATGGGTTCTTTTACTTTGTTTTGGGTAATTTGTGCCGTACATTCCCTTAAAAGCCTCAGGTAATCCAGAGTTCAGTCTCTCTTAGGATCATGACATATTGATCTTCCCCCAAACCCTAAAGAAAATGAGTTTGAATTTATCTTCAATTGTTTTTTAATTTTTTTTCCAATAGTGGAGATTTCCTCTTTCAGATGTAAAAGCAGATAAAAATACTTCATTCTCTTATTACTCCCTCTATCATGGCCACACCCACTGCCACTTGAGAGGGCTGTCACAGTCTGCCTTACAGATTTGGAAAATGTAGGCAGGTTTCTATATGGATATGCCTTATGCCCTTGCTCCTTATCAAGAAGGATGCATCTCAGCATGAAATGAAAGTCAGATCAAAACATTCCAGCAATTAAAAGAAATCATGACCATCCACTTTGGATGCTAAAATGACTTAGAATCCACTTGGGTTAATTCTGAGACAAACTAGATAAAGTGCTTGACTTTCCTGACTCCTCTGTTTGCAGTGGAGATTGGGGGCAATGGCAGATAAGTGCACAGAGGCCTTCACCCCACTTGGTCTCAGCTTCCTCAGATACAAACTGGAGGGAGCCGAGATGTCCTCTTAGATCCTTTCCATTTCTAAATACACCCATGGATTTATGATTTCATAGTTCATCCAGCAGGGAGAAGGGCTGATGGCTGTGGGACCACCGTGCAAGTCCCCTCATCCCCACCAGAAAAGCGTCCACAGGCAGCTGAATGTAACTAAGACAGCCCACCTGCCCAGCCTTCCCACTCGCCCTCGAAGGCCCATGCTGAGCTCAGAGCAACTCTGCCCTGCTCCACTCTTCCCATCCTCTGAATCCATAGAATAAAAAGAGGAAAGTTACTTTGGAAAATCAGATGACAAATTTGGGGGTTTGGGAGTGAAGGAAAGGAGATGAATTCTGTCATTTTGATGAGGGCTGGGAGGCAAGCATCAATTCTGACAAAGTACTGCAGCAGGTTGTTGTCCATGAGCTTCAGTCTAGACGTCCTGCTGCAGAGCAAGGACCAAGAAACTGAAGGCCAGGCTGTCAATGAATGAGTGAGCCTCGATCACTGGACACCAGATGCATAGAATGGAACATCCTGTTAGTAAATGTGAAGAGACCACACTGAGAACCAGAACCTACCTGTACCAAGGGGATGAGAAGTATCTTCAGATATTTCGCCTTTCTTTCACCTAACATACAAAATGGGGCAGCAGCCTCTCTATTTTCCCTGGATGTCATCTTCTGGCTCATGGCTGAAGCCAGCCACAATCTGCATGTTGATGTTCCCAAATTACAGCTGGCCCCTTAAATATAGTCTCCAAATGACGATTTGTTTGCAATATAATACACTAGAGTTGCCAACTTTATAAGCAAGGCTATGTGTCATTTGCTCTAGGCTATGATGTCTTGTCATCTTGTCAGCGTCAGATGAACACAGTTCAGTATGACAGCTCTTTCAAACGTGCTTGAAGGGTGATGGGTATAAGCTGATGCTCCTCGGCACACGTGGCCAACTTGTTCTGGGCATCTGTTTATGGTGAAGGCTGTCCAGGCATGACTTAGCTCTGGAAACCTTTCTGTCAGCATGCTGATTCCCTGGTCTTGTCATCCCCAAAGTTTTCTTTCTCAAAGCCATTTCAACTACAAAATTCCATGGGTCATGTGCATCATACCAGATAGGAATTTTATTCCCCTTTTTTCCTTATCTGTCAAGACACATTTTCTGATATTCCACTCACTAAGTTATTTTCCTCCATCTTCCCCCAATAGGCACAGAATACTGCCAGATCATCAATCTTCTTTTAAATTCCTTTCAGATCCTAAGTAAGAAGGAAGTCTCATTCCTTAAAGCTTCTTTATATCAAGGGGACAGTAATGCAAAGCAATTCCTTTCTGAGGGTCTTGCTATTGTAAAGATTCCAAACTGTACCAAAGGACAACAGTTCCATCTTGTCACATCAAACTTTAATATGGCAATAAACGTCTTGAAAAATATGCATTTTAAACCTAAAGTTCATTAAAAGCCATCCTTCTCCAAGCAATTACCAATTACCCCTGGAGGGGGTGGCTGTGAAAATCACTTGATCAGGCAAAAGCCTTGCTTGGTCTTTTCAAGATTTAAAGTTAATTCAGTGGCAGTTGGTCCTGCTGTCTTTACCCTCCAGAGAGAAGTACAGAATTTTGTAACTGTGAGCATTTATTGTGAGACCACAAAACAAGCTCCTTTGGGACACTCTTTTCTCCTCTGGCTAAGTGCTCCTGAAAGAGGAAACATCTAGGTGGGTGGAGACGGGATCAGCCTCCCACCCCCGCCCCCCTTCCCCTCTTAGCAATCTGTGCTGATCAGGAAGAGATGGGCCCCCAGAATGCTGGAAGTCGGGGAGGATAAGGCATGCTTTATGTGCAGCATGTGGCCCCCGTCCTGAGGCCCCCGCGGAGGGAGAAGGGGCTTCTGTTGAGACAAAGGTCACATGCCTTAGGAAATACCTCCCCGAGAAAGCCAGGAGGCCCAGGGTCCTGGCAGATCCCACGGAGTCCCCGCAGGAGGGCAGGTGGGCGGAGCCTTCCGCCGACGTCATGTGGGAGCCGCCCAGTCAGCGCTCTTGGGGGCCTTGCACGTGTGCACGTCCAGGGCCTCCACACAGTCCTGACAGCGCACGGCACAGCACCAGTGGAACTTACACTCGCACTTGGTCATCCGGGTGACACGCGAGGTGTCGTAGCCTCTCCCGCAGCACATGACTTCGCAGCTGTCCATGCCGCGGGAAGTCAGGTTGCACACGCGGCCTGCTGTCCCCGGGGAGCCTGGAAAACAAGCGGGGGAGGGGGCACTGAGAAGGTGTGGGCCGAATACAGTGGGCCTCCGGAGGGCGCCCGGCCCCTCGTCCCCACGGCCTGGGGCTGAGCCACCTGTTCTGGGGCCCAGGCAGTGTCTGTCGGCCCCAGGCGCCCGCCCCAGCGAGTGTAGCCGTGCCCACAGGGCCAAGTCACGGAAAGATGGATGCGAAACTATGGACCTGCCGTGGGCAACTGAACTCTAGTGCTCCCACTTCTGAGCTGGATAAACGTTTCCATTTATCCCTACCCAGCCTTGAATTAGTGGATCACTGAGTGGGCAAGCCAGCTCAGAACGAAAGAACGATCTGTCCTAGCTCCCTCTCACCGGCCCTCAAACCACATCAAGGAAGCAGTGACCCGGGTTAGGGCTCTCAGAATTTGTCAGGGTGTGGAACCCTCAAAGGTAGGGGATTCTGTCTCCCCAGACCTGACTAGGCTGCCTTACTAGAAAGAGGCGAGAACTCTGGTGGCTGAAGGGGAGGTGTGGGCATCGTTCGTGTAAGACCTGGAGGAGCGAGCGCCGCCCAGCCTGCTTTACCTCAAGCGCTGCGGTCCAGTGGGCCATCTAGATGTGTGTGGGGCTCCTGGTCGGAGCCAGGATGCTAAGCCTTCGGTGAACAGAACTGGCGTAAAAACCTGTTAGGAACTAGCAGTGGAACATTGTCTTAGTTATTTAAGGTGAGGTTTCCTAAATGGCAATTCATTTTTATGTATTTGTGTCTGAAAAAGACTCTCAAAGATAGGATGTCTCTTCATGTGTCCTATTCCTGGGGAAGCACCCAGAATTCTTTTATAAGAGCATTATCAGACGATTGCTCAACTCACAAGGATCCTTTCTGCTTCTTTCTGCCCCAAAGAAACGGGCATTTGGCTACCATGTTGAACAACATCACCGCTCTGCCGGTGACAGGTGACTGGGCCAAGCGTGGGGACGTGGCTTGTGCTGGCCAATCAGGTAGATTTCCCTGGGGACTAGCGGGTTTGCTGGAGCTAGGCGGTCGCACCAAATACACATTCAGTAGCCAGCCACGGGCAGCCGTATACCATGATGATGTATGGGGGCCAGTGGTCTACAGAGAGATGAGAATGAGGCAAATGTACAGAGACAGAGAGGATAAGACATGGAAAGAGGATGCTGCCCAGATCCTGGACTATCTTCCTGAAGCTGCTTCCATTTCTCCCTTAGGCCTGGCTACATTCCAAACTTTGAGTTCCTAGAGGTTCTGTATCCTTATGATAAATTTCTCCTTTCAGCTTAAACCACTCCATCTTCTATTGCTTGCAATCAACAATTCTAAATAAGTGACAAAACGAGAGAAGCTAAGCTCCTTATTAAAAAAAAAAAAAGTATGTCAGGATGAAAAAGAAAGTGACTTCATTCATTTTCAGTTCCTCTATCATTTAACAAGGAATTTCTCCTGCTTCATAACTCCTGGCCTGCCTCGTGACTCTCTCTTTGTTTATCACAATCCAACTGTGTTCCAATTATCTACATAAATGTCATGTTGCCCTGCCTGTCAAGAATGACCCGGGAAGCAGCCAGGTTCCAGCAGGGCGTTGGGTGGAGAAGAGGAGAGGGGTGGGCAGAACTCGTTCTGCGTGATCAGGCCACTGACAGCAGGAAGGCAGGCAGGGGATTTCATGATGACAGGAAGGATGGCAAAGGGCTGGGGTCAGGGGGGACAGGGGGGCCAGCCAGGGATGGCCAGGAGCCTCTCTCGTGCTGAAGAAGCACCCAGCTAGAAGAGGCAGCAGCTGGGGCTAGGTTCGGGGCGACGGTCAGGACAGTGCTCAGAATTACTGACTGGACAAGAAGGACGCACTGCCAGTGCCGCCTCTTAACAGCACGCCCGTTATTTCATTCGGCAAACATCTAATGAACACAAACATGTAAGACACCATGCCGGCTGCATAGAATTTTGGGTAGTGGTGGTGGAGAAATAAAATAATTAGAATTCACTTCCTATTCTCTGAGCACTCATACTCTAATGAAGAGATTAATATGTAAAGAGATACCTCCACTACTTCTAGGTAACTGTTCCATTTGCTGAAGACCTGCTGTAACCTCCAGGAGAGATTTTGCAAAGCACCACTGCAGACAAAGCTCATGATGGTAGAATGAGGTTATTTAGAGCTTGGACACATCAGGGTTCAAGTCCTAGCTTTTGCCATCTGTCAGCTGGGTGACGTTGGGCATGCCATTAGGTCTCATTAATCTCATTAGGCGTCAGCTTCTTCCCTTGCCGAACTGGGATAAAAACGGAGTTCCTTCCTCACAGGGCTGCGGTGAGGTGGGAATGAGATCCTGCATGAAAAGCACCTGGCAAATAAGGGCTCAGTTAATGTTACCCTTCCATTCACTTAGCCTGTGTTTATTGAGTGCCTAGATGTGTTAGGCACAGTTGTGGGAGCTTGGGATATATTAGAACAAAATAAAGATCCTGCCCTGAGGAGCTTATGTTCTAGAGGGAGTAAGCCCAATATATAGTAATGATAATGAGTGCTATTAATATCGATAGCAGCAAACAGGATCAGAAAGGAGCTGTTAACAGCCCAGTTTTACCGAGGTGGCTTCGGAGATAGGACAGAGAGGATAAGTAGATCTGGAGGGAGAAGCGGGCAAAGCGAGTCCTAGGTGAGAGAGAACCTCCCAGCAGGCCCCCCGGGGCGCGCTCCCGGGACGCAGCCAGGGTGGCCACTGCGCAGGCGTGGGGCGGGCCAAGAGCCCGGAGAGGGAGCCGGGCGCGGGTTTAGGGCCTTCCTGCCTTGCTGCAGTTTGGGCTTTATCCCGTGGGGAGTGGTGAGCCTGTCTAGATTTGTTAGCAGCGGAAACCTTGTCCGAATGGGGCAGGGAGGTATCCTTGAGGCAGCTGGATTCGTCCAGGCAGGAGATACTGAGCGAAGGACAAATATGTGACAGGCGAAAGGGGGAGAATCACTAGGACTTGGGGACTCACTGACTTGGGGGTAGGGGGTCAGGGAGGAAAAGACTGAAAACCGTGCACTTGGCTCAACACGAAGGAGGTAAGGGGCGCCCTCTGATGAGAGCTGCTTCAGCAGAACCACAGGACGGAGCCGCGATCGCGGAGTGAATGGGGGGCGAGGGCAGACGGACATGGAGTGTAGCCAGTTTTCAAGAAACTTGGTGGCAAAGCGGACGAGAGGGCATGGCTGCAAGGAGTGATGAGCCCGAGGTGGGACTTTAAGGTTATTTTAAGCTGTTTAGTTTTTGGGTGGTTTGTTATGCAGTAGTAGACACCTGACACAATTCGGAAGGTTCTAATTACATAAAGTACAAAAGTGGGAAAACCCAGTCTATGTTATTAGAAGTCAGGGTAGTGATTTCCCTTGGTGAATAGTGAAAAGGGGCATGAGGGAGGCTTCTGGAATACCAGTCCTCTTCAGGTCTTGGTCTGGGCCTAGATTATATGGGTGTGTTCATTTTGAGACCATTCCCTGAGCTATACATGTGGCGTGCGATTTTCTGTATGTCTTTTATGTTCCAGTAACGAGAAGAAGAAGGAGGAGGCCAGATATGCAAAGCCAGGAAACCAGCAAAACTCTAATATGTGAGCAGCAGAAAGAAAGGTGTGTAACCTGGCTGGAATGCAGCATTCAAAGGGGAACGTGGCAGGAGGTGAGGCGGGAGAGGTGGGCAGAAGCCAAGACGTGGAAGGCCTTGTGGGACAGGTGAGGGCATTGAAACCTTAACCCAAGGACAATGGAGTGCTCCTGAGAGTTTTTACCCAAAGTGGGGCATGATGGATTTACATTCAGAAGGCTTGCTGTGGGTGCTGGGGTCAGATGGATTGAAGGGGGCCAGGGTAAAGGCAAGGAGCCAAGTTAGAGAGCGGTGAAGTGCCCTGCGCAGGGCACAGGGTGATGGGGACAAGGACAGTGGCGGTGGGGGTGGGAGAGGTTAAAGGGTTCAGGGGATGTGGAGGAGGCAGGACGGGCAGGACATGGAGGGTGAGGGTCAGGAAGTACTCCCAGGCTTCTGGCTTGAGTGACTGGATTTATGCTGGTGAACTTCCTTGGGGTGGGACACCTGGGGAGAGGCAGGCTTTGAGCCAAGATCCTGAGTTTTGTTTTCAACATGTTGACTTTGTTGTGACAGTGGGTCATCCAGGTAGAAATGTTCACTGAAAATACTCTTTGGGACTCAGGAGAGAGGTCAGCATGGAGATGCAGAGTGGGAAATCTCTATCTCAAAGGTGGCCCCTGGAGCCATGGTGCAAAGGAGACCCCCGGGGTGTGAGAAGCACTGTCACCTGCCACGCTAGAGGCCGCTCTGAATTTTCACCTTGTGTTTTGTCCATAAGCCCTGCACACCCATAAGCATTCTTCACTTCCACCAATATGCATTCATTAAAATATGAATACATGCAATTGGAATTTTCTCTCTCCCTTGGTGCTGTGAGGTGGAGGGAGGGTGTCGCTAGGACAGGGAGGTGAAGAGTGTCATTCCCGAATCACCCTGTGGCCTTTTTACCGACATCGAACTTGGTGACCTTTCCCCAGTGGCCTGACCCTAAGGAGGGTCTGAGCTGGTGGTCTGACTCAGCTGCAGCCGTGGTTGGGGTGTTTTTGTCCCTCAGATGCAAAAAATTGAACCGGGCTCTGAATATGAGGAGGGCTCAGTGAAGTGACCTCAGCTCCATCAAAACTCTTAGAGAAGTGGTCAAAGTGATGGCCATTGACAAGAGCTTAACTCAGAAGTGGTTTCAGTCAAGGAAACAAAGTCAGCCCGAGAACACCATAGAATGCCCGAGAACACCACTCATCTGAACATACCACTCTCCACTGGCCAACCAAACGGGGTGTAATGAGGTCCCAGAAGAAGGAAGATGAGAGGGGTTTTTGAAGGTTGAGAGCCACTGACGTGAGAACGGTGGTAAGGTCACAGCCTGGAGGAGGAATGACCCCCCTCCGAGGACCCCAGGCTCCCAGGAATGTGCCAGCTGAGA